CTCACTGTTGTGGCCTCTCCCGTTGCGGAGCACAGGCTCCGGACGCGCAGGCTCAGCGGCCATGGCCCCCCGGCCCAGCCGCTCCGCGGCATGTGGGATCCTCCCGGACCGGGGCACGAACCCGCGTCCCCTGCATCGGCAGGCGGACTCTCAACCACTGCGCCACCAGGGAAGCCCCTCACAAGGCTTTTATTGGGCAGCCACAAGACCAGTAGGTCTCTGAACCCACCCACCAAATATTAAAAGTTTATACAGAAGCCTTAACTGGGTTCAGTCACATATACAGGTGTGACTGAAGGTCTCAACAACACCTTACTCTCTCAAGCCTGCATCCTTGAAAATGGCCCCCATTGTGGGAATGGTGAGCAGAGTATACGTTCCAAGGACAAGGGTGGGGGTAAGGAGCCTCCAACTGCCTGGGTCCAGCTGAAGGGTCAACCTGCAGTCCCATGCTCTCGATGACCTCCCCCAGCACCAACACTGATCCACAGCACTGCTGGACACCCACTTCTGCAAGTTCTGTACACTCACTTGGCAGGCTTGCCTAGAATCACACATCTCTCACTGACTGCCCAACTGTGATTTGCATGACTCACCGTTATCCATTCTTCACATATTTGGCACCTCAAGGAGCATAACTTTGATTCTGATGGCCTTGCTGAACCCCAGGGCCCCACTGTTGGTGATCTTGCTGTTGTGTGGGACTCAGCCAGGGCCCTAATGACTGGCACAGCAATATCAGGGGTGTAAATGTTATAACCTGCTTTTCCCTTTTTTCCTTTCAATCAGGACTTAAAGAATATTGGATTTCCTGCCCAGAGGCAAATTCCCTTTAGGAAAAAAAAAGAAAACTAAATATTCAGGCTTGCTTCTCCATACCTTTTCGACAAATGGAAAAATTTCTATGTAATGTTATAGGAACCTTGACTTACTCTGATTAGGTCTCATTAAAGAGACAAAGAAAAAGCAGACGACAGAGCAAAAGCAGAGGTCTGGGCAACCCTGGGCAAAGGTAACAAACACAGGACTTAGCACTTCCTTCCAGAACCTGGAACCTGGAAATTGTGAAAAGGAGCTGAAGCGGCAGGTCAGAGACCTCTGCTCCATGCCATCAATGAAGCTAAAGCTGAGTAAACCTATGTATTAAGGAGTTTGTAAGTGGGACTTTGATAAACAATGTTTTCAGCAGCTTTACCATCTTATGCATCCAAGTATTTAGTGTCCCTAGGACTAATGGGACCCAGAAAGTAGGAGTCAACAAGTTCAAATTATAAAATCATAAATGCACTAAATTTGTGAATGTGCAAAAAGATGTAAACAAAAATACCTGTTAGCATGTAATTCTTACGCTACAAAGCAAAATAAGTATACTAGCATTTTTTGCAACTTGAGAGAGATTTATCCTGAAAAGTCTCTCATAAATAGAACTTACATAACTGAAAACTAAGCATATAATATAATATAATCATTGCTATTTTGAAATGTGAAAAACACCACTGATATTCTCTTTAGGTGTATATTATAATTATTGCTTTAAGTTTGGGAGTTATAAGAACCATTATAAAGATTTTTACGTATTTATCCTCATTATCAGTGCCCCAGTCATACTCTTCCCATAAGGTCTTAAATTACTTAGCAACAAATTATCCTACAGGCAGGTAAGCTTCATGTGGAGACAAAGCATTACATACACAGAATCATACAGAACCATGGCCTCTCTTTCACTTTTTAACCACCAATCTATTCATTCTAATTTCACTGTGTTAAACATGAAAATTTCCTTCATATTCAATGTTAATATTTTACCACAGTCTATAGTTTGAGCACAAAGAAATCATACTTAGAAAATAACTCAGTGCCAGGGTACATTAGGACCTTCATGGGTCCTGGGTACTTTTGCCTTCTTAGACCCCTTCCTCCTTAAAAATAATAAAATAAAAATTATATTTTACAACTGTAGTTTTACAAAGATGAATAAATTAATATTATATATTCAAAATTCTTTTACCTAAAAGTTCATTTTTTCGTTCTACTATTAGTAGAAATTCAAACATCATGTGGGCCCTACACACTGTGTTAATAGACAAGTCGGCCCAGCTCAACACCCTGGAAAAATGTAAGATGTCTCCTCTAGAGATGGAATGAAATCACTCTTGAGTTCAGTATTTCTTAAATCTGGCTACAAACTAGAATCTTCTGGAGAAGTTTTAAAAAATAAAGTATACTCATACTCAGACCCCATGCCAGAAAATAATTAAATTCATCTTGTGTGGGTTCCCAGAGAATCTATATTTTCAAAATCTTTGCAGGTGATTATAATGTACAGTTCAAAATAAAAACCCTTGTCTTATATTTCTTTAGACATTCATAACCCAGTTCTTCGGAAGGTGACTTGCATTCGTAAAGCAATCCAAAACTGCTCCCAGAGAAGGAAGATGAGCAGGGAGACGAGGAGAAGAATGGTGGCAACAACAACAAAGAAAGGGACTCACTATGTGCTGCAGCTTTGAGCTTTCTCATATGCAGAGCACGACTTTAATCTCAGCCCCATCACTAGGACTCCTTTATAAGGCAGTGAGTAACACCTCTTCCCTTTGTTATTTCATTTGTACTTTCAGGAGCAATAAGCCTTAGGTAGAGGGGGGATGAAATCACATTTACTGATGTATTTTTGTACTGAGACATATTCTTTCTCTCTGAATATCTGAGCACACTGACTCTAAAGGACTCAGTACCACGGATACAAGTGAGAAGCTGAAGCCAATCAGCACGATGTCAGAACCTGTGGGAAACAGATGAACTGCCTACATGGAGACCAGGATCTTTGAAAGTGGGGATCAGCTCCAAATTTAGGGGGCCTGGTGGAATTAAGATAAAATTTATATGTGTTGGAAAAAGTGAAAGAGCCTGAAATTTAACAGCAAATCCAAATACTCAAGCTGAGCAAATTATATGACTCTGAATACAACTGGAGAGACTATATCTTTCTGCTAACTTGGTGCTTCTTTTAGGTCAGTCTTTGAAGATCTAAGAGCACATACAGACTAAATCTCTGTTGAAAACCTTCTTATTTCCACATGTTCTCTGAAATCAAGCCTAAGACCTGACAGAAAGCAGTTTTGTATTTGAATCAGGTTTGTGAATTAGGGATGACTGATAAAGAAATTAACAATAATCAAAAGGCAAAGCAAAAAAAAAGAAAAAAATCAGATGGGAAGAAACAGGAATGAAAGTGCCTCAAAAGTAAAAGTAAAAATGATGAGCTGTCAAGCGGAAAGGAACTTTACATCTGATACAGAAGAAAAAAACTATCCTGAGTGATTCAGGGTGCTAAGGTAGAAAAATTTCCTCTCTATGGTCTCTTTCCTCTTGTTCTTGCCCAACTGTGTTAACAAAGAAAGAAAAACTGAATAAGTTAAGACCCAGTAAGAACCATAACTGCAAAAGTCAGCAGTCACAGAAACAAGCTCCTACACTTTAGCTTGATTTGTAGAGAGAAATGGACAACCAAAGGCAGAAAAGAAAGTAGCTTCAAAATCAAGTAGTACAGGGCTTCCCTGGTGGCGCAGTGGTTAAGAATCCACCTGCCAATGCAGGAGACATGGGTTCAAGCCCTGATCCAGGAAGATGTCACATGCCTGCGGAGCAACTAAGCCCATGAGTCACAACTACTGAAGCCTGTGCACCTGGAGTCCGTGCTCCACAACAAGAGAAGCCACCAAAATGAGCCCCAGCTCACCGCAACTAGAGAAAGCCCACGCGCAGCAATGAAGACCCAACGCAGCCAAAAATAAATAAATAAAATAAATTTATTTTTAAAAAAAGATACATGCACCCCAATGTTCATAACAGCACTATTTACAACAGCCAAGACATGGAAACAACCTAAATGTCCATTGACAGATAAATGGATAAAGAAGATGTGGTATATATATACAATGGAATATTAGCCATAAAAAAGAATGAAATAATGTCATTTGCAGCGACATTTATGGACCTAGAGATTGTCATATTAAGCGAAGCAAGTCAGACAAAGACAAATATCATATGATATCACTTATATGTAGAATCTAAAATATATACAAATGAGCTTATTTACAAAACAGAAACAGACTCACAGATACAGGAAAGAAACTTATGGTTACCAAAGGGAAAGGTCGGGAAGTGATAAATTAGGAATTTGGGATTAGCAGACACCACTATATATGAAATAGATAAACAACAGGTCCTACTGTATATTCAGTATCTTATAATAACCTATAATTGAAAGAATATGAAAAAGAGTACATAAATATATATATTATCTATATAATATATATATAACTAAATCACTTCACTGCACACCAGAAACTAACACAACATTGTAAATCAACTATACTTCAATTTAAAAAAAAAAGATTCACTCAGCCCAGGTATCATCTCATTCAGGTAACCCCTCCCTCCTCTGCTGGATCTTTAACTCCTTGATGATAGGGCCAATGGCCTATTCATCTTTACATCCTTTGCATAGTACCAAGCATGGAGCAAACCCTCAATAAGTGTGTGCTGCACACATAAATAAAAGAATGCATGAACTCCCTATCTCATTTGCTCAAAGAAAACCTCATTCTGTACAGACATCACCTGGGATGTCATAAATTACCTTCCCATTTCCAAAGTAGGAGAGCATAAAAAGAAATATAGGAAATTTCTATAATTCTACAAGGAAAAATCAATTCGCATATAAGTGTTTTTAAAATAGTAGCCATTTATAATAATAAATGTTTCAAATAACTGAAACATTTGTGGGGGAAAAAATGTATGACCACCACCATGTCGGGAAGTAAAGTTAATCTCACACTTACTTCAGCTAGTCTTGAATGTTTGTGGACCACCTCTGTTTTATTCATTGGCGTGAGCTGTTGCAAAACACTTCGGCTATTTGTCAAAGCCCGTGTCAATCGGGCAAATTTTGTCCAACCTTAAAAATAAGGAAAGAAAGTCTCAGTTTTTCACACGTAATGAATATGGAAGCCTACATTCTTGCTAATATTCAAGGGATCTCAGAAACAGCATAACATGCAGAACTAATGAAAAGTATCAATCTAAAGCATTTAATTTCTACACAGACATCATCAAATATTTCAAGTGCAGTTATAAAATAGTAAGTAATTTTCATGTGTGATCTTTGTGTTTTGCTCATATCTATCATATAGTCCCTATAGCCAGGTAGCTAGCTGTCCACAAAATTCTGTCCTCCCCCCTTGCATTGTATAGGTTTGTTACTGGGAAGCAGCTGCCCAGCCAGGAATACATTTCCCAGCATTTGTTGCATCTAGGTGTGGGCCTGTCCCTAGTCCTCACCAATGGATTGAGACAGAACTGATGTGTGTCACTTCCATGCATGCAACAACTTAAGAAGCAAGTGAAACTTCTCCATACTTTCTCCATCCTTCTACCAGTTGGACGCAAGCGACAAGATCCCAGGGGACAGCAAAGCCACTGAATCAGTGCATAGAGGAATGCCATATGTCAAAGATCAACTTCCTTGGATTTTTATATGAGTAAGAAATATGCTTCTATTGTGTTAAACCACTTAAAGTTGGGGGGTTATTTACTATATCAGGTAGTATTACCCTAATAAAAACAGTCCTATCGTATACTTATGTGAAGATATATACACAAAAGAGAATAAAGCCCAATTTCAACAAATCTCACATACTATGGTTCTTATCACACACCTCCATCTTCTTTGTAACATAGCAAAGGTTCTCTCTTATTAACAATTTCATTGATATTTAAAGATTATTTTTGGAATATCTAGAATCCTTAATGTTTTCCAAAAGAGTAGTAACCTTAACTTCTGAGGGGAAGAAATGTGAATTTAATAGGAAAGAAATTTCTTCCATTATTTCCAATATTAAAATCATTAATTTTTCATTATTAAGCTAATTAACTTCAAGGAAATGTCAATGAGACGTGAACAAGTAGAACAAAACGAGCCATACTCTGTTCGTATCTCAATTATCCTTTCTCTAGGTATCCCCAAAAGCTCTAATCTATCATGGACTCCATTAAGACCATTTGATAATTTCCATGGTATTACCTTTAACTAGGGTATTTACCAAGCAACTCCTTAAAAATGAAAACCCCTGATGGCCCAAAGCAATGACTCTAATGGTAATGATGAACTTTCAGACAATGTGACAGAAAATGAAAGAAGAAATCCTGGGCAGGCACCAACCAAATGTCTTTCAAACCATACCAGGTAGGTGACATCATACTTTACTGCTATTCTTCAATCTAACTTTGACTTCAATTAGGCTTTGTACTGCCCCACCAACTTAGCTCTTTCTATGGTATCAACAATTGGATTGGGAAAAAAAGTAAACTGGCATTGGTTAACAGAAGATCTTCTATTCTTTTTCATTAATGGGCCTCATCCTAGTGACCAGAACAGAAAATGTTAGGCTTTGGGAATTGTATGCAACCCTAAGGCTTGCCCTGTGCAATGTGCTGGAGAAACAAAGAAGCACCAGATATGCCACCAACTCTCTAAGAATTCAACATCAATGCAAAAGACCATCATGCAATCTATATCACCAACTTAGACTTTTCTTCTAAGCACTAGACCTATGTGTCTAATTGGCCATCGGCCACCTCTTACTCAGATGTTCTACAGGCATCTTACTCTTAACATGTTCAAAATCAATCTTATCATCACCTTCTCCCCCCATCTCCAACTCTGCATATTTAATGTATTCTTGGTCTTAGTGAATGGCCCCATGATATTTCCAGCTGTCCGAATCGGAAACTTGAGATTCACCATCCTCCTTCACTATTACCTCCACCCCACACACACATATCCAATCCCTTCCAAGACTTACAGACTATAACTTATCAATAAATACCCTCAAATTTAATCTCCTCTCTCCATCCGTAATATGTTAGACAAAAATCTTTCACCTGAGTTAGACAGTAGCTCCTAAAAACCATTGCCTCTGCTCTCTGACCACATACTCTCCAAACAACTCTGCACATTGCTGCCAGAGTCCTTTCTACAGCACAAATATTACCATGCATTTCTCCCATTTTAAATTCTTTAAGAGATCTCTGGAAGCCTTCAGGATAACACTGAATATCCCTGGTATACATGTCATTTAGTTTCTGACCCTAAAGATTTGCTCTGCTTCCATCTCCTTCCACTTCTTCATACACGCTCTGTATTCTGGCCTCATTAAAATCAATAACAAATTAAAAGAACAACTGCAAAAGTAAAATTAAATCCACCAGGAATTCTTTGTATACCCTATGACATTCAATGCTTTCATGCTTTCACATGTTATAACCACTCTGTCTACCTGAAATGCTTTTTCCCTCTCCATCTGTCTGGCTAATGCTTACTGGTACCCCCAAACTCAGTTAAAGCATTCTGAGATCCACTGGTAGCTTCTTGGATCCACTCATGAGAGAGATGCGCTCTCCTCTGTGTATTCACACCACAGAATACATACCTCACATGGCACTAACAATACTAATGCAGTTGTTGATAAGCATGTCAGTCACTCCCACTAAACTACCATCACCTCTCCACTCTCAGCACTTGGTAGAGGGCTGCCATAAAATAGGTCTTTAATTGATTGACTAATTAATTAAAAGTTATTTGTTACTTTAAAAATAAGATTTTAAAATAAGCTCCATTTGTATTATCATGAACATAAACATGAAATATTATGTTTTTTATTATCGTTGGGTTTTGGTTTGGTTTTTGCTTTATTGGGTGAAAATGGTGAGGATGTCTTCAGATGACAGCAACTATGTTGGCAACAGGTATATTAAAATATTTCCTGTTGATCATTTCTCTTCTGCATCAAATGAATATTAAAGTTGCATTGAATATTTCTAGAAACTTCCAAGTCAATCTTGATTTCAGTTTCTTTCTTTTCATTTTTTGGCTGTGCTGCAAGGCTTGCAAGATCTTAGTTCCCTGACCAGTGATCAAACCCAGGCCCTCAGCAGTGAAAGCACAGAGTCCTAACCATTGGACCACCAGGGAATTCCCACAAGTCAATCTTATACTTACTGAAGATTCATATTTCTAAGATAGATAATGTTGCACCTCTTAGTACATCTGATTATTGGATTAAAAGAGAAGCCCAGTTTCATTCCCTGTGTGTGATAAGGTTTATTCAGAAAATATTTTCAAAATATAAAAGGAGATATTGAAGGAATGAATTCAGTAACACATGGAAGAACACAAATCATCAAATGCTATGTGTTCTCTCCTTTCTAGGATCATAAAAAGAAGTAAACTTGTGAGGAAGGAGAAACATGATGATGAAAGCTTATTGTCATCCTCTGGTTTTCTATTTCAAGTATCATGAGCACACACTACTGTTTCTTAATGAGGAAGCAGCAGTTCCTCATTTAAATATGAAACAAATGTGCCTGTGTAGGTGTATCTCATTTTACACATGAAGTCAATAAAATCAAGAAATACTTCATCCCTTTACCTTATTTCAATTTCCTAAAGGAAGAAAAAGTTTTAAAACTGTGAAAATAAAACACCAACATTTTTCTCCATGGTAAAAATAGGACTATCATTGATTAAACAGCAGAATGAAACTGAAAGAAAAATGTTAATTCTTCATTCTAAAAATTTTCACACAGTGTATTCTGAGTGAGACCACCCTTAAATATAGATGAAAAGGGAGTTTACAGCATGATATGACTTTTAGGTGCCAGATCTTATTCTTTCTATCCCTGGTTGTCTAGTTCCATGACTGGCACATACTGGGCACTAGAAACATTTTTGAATGAATGAATGAGAACATTAGTAGAAAAGTTAAATAGAAATTAACACAGCATTCCACATTATATCTAGTTAAAATTAGAATATAAAGAAGGAAATATGTTCAAGCTCTTAGCAGATACTAATATAACTCATTGGTATTGTGAAAGAAGGGCTTTGGGTTGGAGAAGGTAGAAACAGTGTGGTAGAGGGTTGAGGAGGAAGTGTGTGGAGGATTATAATTTTTCCCTCAAAAAGAGGAGTGGGGAGCTGCTAACAGAAAAAAAAAAAAAAAAAAGGCGGTGACAGTTGTCAAACTGACTCAGACTTAGTCAAAGAGAGAAGTTTAGGAGGAAATACTTGGGAAGGATTCTTCCTAGAGAAAGCAAAGGCAGTGGTCTAATCAAGTAACCATTTACGAGCTTTGATATCAAAATGCCCTTGGAGCTGGAAAACAAATGCAAAGCCGAGCAATGTTTTGTTTCACGTTTAAATCAAAGGGAGCACAAAAAGATGCACTCCCTGAACCGCTCAGTGCTCTTTTTGCCTCTGGTTAGGGCTTTCTTGCAGTCCTCAGTTCTAAACAGTTAGCATTTTTCTCAAGACCCCTATGCCACCCCTCTGTCCTCACAGCAGATTAGCTTATCAAATATATTACTGAAAAACCATAAGATGGGGCGGAGTCAAGATGGCGGAGTAGGAGGACATGGAGTTAGCATCTCCTCATAACTAGGGCACCTACTAGGCACTGGTGGGGGACCTCGGACACCTAAGGGGATGTGAGGAATCCCCACGTGATGAGGTAAGATGTGGGAAGGAGTGGGGGGAGGAAAAGTGGAGGCAGGATGGGACCAGCACACCTAAGGGGGGGCTGGGAGAGGGGAGAGGTTCCCACACTTGGAGGGGCCCACTAACAGCAAGGGGATCAGCAGGGAAGAATAGGGACCTTCAGGGGATCGGGGAATCAGAAGGGAACGCAGCCGATGTCTCCTCTGCCTGCTTGGGCACTGGCAAGCCTGCTGGGGTCCTGGGCTTGAGCTGCCCACCCACCTCTGCCCCGCCAAGGCCTCTTGCAGCTGCGTGGGTCCCAGGCCTGAGCCCTGTCCCCACCAGGGCTCCCTCTGCCCACGTGGGTCCCAGACCTGAGCCCTGCCTCAGCTGAGGCCTCCTTCGGCTGCATGGGTCCTGGC